TCGCACGTGCTGCCATGCGAGTCTGGGAAGCGGCTATGTGCTCATGTGCGTTCTTCATAATCGACGTCATGTGTGCAACCCAATCATCCAGCGAGGGACAACTCGTATCGGGGTGCATCTGGGACGGTCGAAGGAAGTCCGCGGGAACACGCGGGTGATAGCCGAGGTCGCAATAGTAAGGCGACATCCCCGTGGCTGGCGAGACGGCGTGGTTGTAGGCTATCTCCGCGTGGGCAAGATGGAGATCCCACTGCTGGTCGTCACGAACAATCTTTTGGAGAATATCCCCGAGAGTCCTGTTCGTGATCTCGGTCTGACCATCAGTCTGAGGATGGTAAGACGAGGAGAAGCGGAGCTGAGTGCCGTACACCTCGTGGAGCCGTCGCCAGAATCGGCTGGCAAAGCGCGGGTCACGGTCAGATATGATGCTCAGAGGTAAGCCGTGGTCACGCACGACTCGGTCAAATACGATGTCGGCGACCTCACGTGCACTGATGGCATAGCGGCACGGAACAAAGCGTGCATGCTTCGTGAAGCGGTCGACGACGACCAGGATAGCATCATGACCGCGGGGGGTCGGAGGTCGAAGAGGACCGATAAAGTCCATCGAGATGGACTGCCAACGACCCTCAGGGATAGGAAGAGGCTGGAGCAAACCATAAGGTAGGTGGTTTGCACTGTTCACCTCCTGACAGCTGGGACACTCTGCGACGCAGTCCTTCACAAAGTCCTTGCGCTTCGGCCAGACGTACAGGCGGCTTACACGAGCCAACGTCTTGTGGAAGCCCATATGACCGGCAACTGCCTGGTCATGGAACTCTGCTACTGCTCGGACACGTAGCTGTCCAGTAGAGGGAACACAAATACGGGGCTCTCTGGTGCCCTGTGAACCGTGCCAGTACATAAGACCGTTGTCCCCGAGAGAGTAGTTCGGGACGGTCTTGCCATTCTGAAGGGTCGCGTGGATGTCGCGATAGTCGGGGCAGTGGCGGTACTGAGTGCGGAACTCGTCGATCACCGAGTGGTGGACGGTGCTGATCGAGATGGAAGAGAGCTGGATGTGCTCCTGGTCGTGGTCAGGGTGCCGGGATAGGGCATCGGCGACCCGATTAGTCTCACCCTTGATGTGCTCAGTGGTGAAACTAAACTCGGATAGGTCGCGCCACCAGCGAGCCTGTCGAGGAGTGAGCTTCGACTTTGTCAGAAAAGCCTGGACAACAGAGTTGTCCGTGCGCACCGTGAATTGTGCCCCGTGCAGGTAGTGGCGCCAATACCGAGGGGCATAAACTACTGCGAGAACCTCACGTTCATCAGCAGTGTAGTTTATCTCGGCGGGCAGGAGCTGACGGGAGTAGAAGGCTATCGGACAATCACCTGAGCGAGACTCGACAGTGCCGTCCTCGGCGATGGTAGGAGAATAGTCAATAGATGGCTCGTCAGTAGCTGGACAAGTAGGCGTCAGTCGGAAAGCAGTGGTAGGGGTAGGTGGTGGGAAGGGAGGGATACGAGGATGAGAGGAATCAGGAGATGAAGGGAAGACCTGAGAAAGCACTGCTCCTACAGCGAAGTCTAACGCATCGGTGGTAAGGATAAAAGGGCGGTCAAAATCGGGTAGGTGAAGAACCGATGCGCATGTCACCGCCTCCTTGAGGGCGCGGAAGGCGTCCTCATGGAGGGGTGTCCAAGCCCAGGGTGGGTTCTTCCGGAGGAGGGTGGAGGTAAGGACGTAGGAATACCTAGCGTATCCCCGGATGAAGTTACTATAGTAGCTGGTCAGGCCTAGGAACCTGCGAAGCTGCTTGGCGGATGTGGGAGCGGGCCACTCCGCAATAGCAGTGATCTTCGCGTCGTCCATGTGGAGACCCTGGTCAGACACGTAGTGTCCTAAGAAATCCACTTTGTGCTAGGCAAAGCGACACTTGCTTAGCTTGGCGTAGAAGCCATGTCTGCGCAAGCGGTCAAGGACGTCGCGGAGGTGTCTGAGGTGCTCCTCAAGGGTACGACTATAGACCAGGATATCGTCAAGGTAGACGAGAACGTACTGCTCTAGGATGTCCCTGAAGATGTCGTTCATCGCCCTCTGGAAGGTAGCGGGTGCGTTGGTGAGGCCGAATGGCATCACCGTGAACTCGTAGTGGCCGAATCGCGATCGGAACGCGGTCTTCGGCTGGTCGGCTGCAGCGACGCGGATCTGATGGTAACCGCTACGAAGATCAATCTTCGTAAAGAAGCGGTTGCCTGCTAGGCGGTCGAACAGCTCAGCGACGCGGATCTGATGGTAACCGCTACGAAGATCAATCTTCGTAAAGAAGCGGTTGCCTGCTAGGCGGTCGAACAGCTCATCGGAATGAGGCATGGGGTAGCTGTTCTTAACCGTGTAGC